TGGTCAATAGAAATGTTACATAATGTTACAAGGGTTAGTGTCGGTAAAAATGTCCTATTTCTGTGTTATATGATATGAGCACGGCCCCTTAGCAAATTTGTCTGTTTTTCAGGTGATTGAGCAATTAAATCCTACTAGAGGTTTTCATTCCAAGTAGTGAAATGTTAAAAAGAGTCACAAATGTAAAGTAGCACTGGGTTACAAGAAGAAGTCTTTTTCCAGGATTTGTAAATCATGGGATGTAATGAGACTAATATGCAGGAAGAAACATAATGAAATTATCTCCCTTACCATAAAAAAAAAAAAAAAAATGATTTATAAAAATAAAATTGCTGAATAAGTCGTTTAAACATAATTTTAAAAAGTTACATTAAAATGTAATAGTATGATTGGGTGACAACTTTCAGGTCACTATTTTTCCAGGATTTGTAAATCAAGGGATGTAATGAAACAAATAAGAAGGAAAAAAAAAAATGAAATTATCTCCCTTACCAAAAAAAAAAAAAAAAAAATGATTTATAAAAATAAAATTGCTGAATAAGTCGTTTAAACATAATTTTAAAAAGTTACATTAAAATGTAATAGTATGATTGGGTGACAACTTTCAGGTCACTAGGATGAGGGTGTGCCAATGCTCAGTTCACTAGGATGATTGTGTGCCACAAGCTTCAGTTCACTAGGGCGATTGTGTGACAACGTTCAGTTCGCTGCGATGATTGTGTGGGAATGAGCAACTGGTTAAGTGGACTCAGAGGTCCACACAAACAACAGCCAAGCTTATAAAAGCAAGTAAAAATATATTGCAGCTTTTTGTTCAACCCCAATGACAGTTCAACATTACCCTGATATTTCAGAAGTTAAAAAACTGGAATTATACAGGAATTATTAGAGTATTGCCCAACCCCAGGATTACGTCAAAGTTTTTTTTAAAAAAATGTTATAAATTCTACACTGGCCAAATTCGCAATAAATTCCAAAGAATGTAGCCAGGGAGGTCTATTCACGAATTTTTACTATATAACTTATGTAAGTGTTTGTGTGAAATATAAAATCATTACTGAAGACTGAAGGCAATATTAGTGCAAACAAACTATTTAAATAAAAGATTAAAAAAAACAACAACATTTTTCACAGTTTTATTTGACAATATATCTAATAGTAGTTCAACAGATTATGTGATCATACAAAGTGATGCAAGTCAGAGTTTCTGTGAACAATAGCATGGAGGGGTTGGGGGAGTAGGGGTGGTGGGAAGACATAGAACTGAAAAGTAATTATGGGGACAAAAAAAGTACAATTGAAATGGGGGTCACCTTATTTATTTGATTTATTTGACATATAAAAAAATGCAATAAATGATTTCAAAATAAATCTGAATATTTTATTCTTTCTTTAAATAGATTCTAAATTTGAATAATAATTTTAATTTCTTTTTTTTAAAAATAGTTTCATGACTAAGAAGTCAATACTAAAAGATGGAACAAAAAGAACTCTTCCATGATTTCAGTATAGGATGCTAACAGCGTGCATTGATGAATTTATGCAAGGAATTTTTAAAGTGCATTTATTAACCAGTTTACAAAATAATATTTGGATTTTTAAAAAAATCAGGAGAGGAAGCTTAGCACATGATTATACAATTGTAATAAGAAAGCCATAAAAATTGGAAGACATAGTTTTAAAATTTAAAAAATTTATCTTTTATCACAAAAGAAATTTTTTTTAAAAAATTTCTTTTGTGATAAAAGATTTTTTTTTTTTTTAAATCACAAAAAGAAATTTTTTAAATTTATTTTTTAAATTTTCTGTGGTGATAAAAATTTAAACAAATTAATTAATATCTATAATCACAAAAGAATTATGTTAAAAGCTTGTCAAAAACACCCACATAATAATACAAAAAATTATTATGTTTTAAATTACTTCCAGATCTGTATGCTTGAACCAAAAAAATCCAACAAAAAAAAAAGTTACATTTTCTCTCTGACAAGAGGCCAATGAAAAATGTACAGATCTTAAAATTTTGAATAAAATAAATTTTCAGCACAGCACTTTTAATTAAGAATTAGGCTCATCATTTACACAACATTGTAGATGTACAACCACTTATGGTTGGATGTGCTAATAGTCTAAAAAAATATAGCTAAAAAAAGTTGGACTTAATTAATTTTAAAACTATTTTTTTTTTCAAACCATCACATCCACGTTCATGATCTGATGTAGTGCTTCATTTGAATAGAGATAAAGTTGGTTTACATGGGACAACGGGTATGAGTTGAGGCAAAAAATACCGCTAATAGTGAAATTGCTTCTAATTTTTCTAGGTCATTAAAAATTAAAATGGGTTCATAAGGTAGAAATATAAAAAGTATATTTAAGTTAAGTATTAAACATTGAAACATAATTAACAGAAGAACACTTTGAGCTGAAGAATGGCACTTAAAATATTTAAGGTATGTTCCATGGGTTTTAACATATTGAGTACTGTCTCCGTAACAACTGGCACTTTCATCGTCCTTCATATATGATATGGCATTTAAAATATTTTAGGTATGTTCCATGGGTTTTAACATATTGGGTACTGTCTGCATAATAATTTCAATTCAAGCTTCAACATACCTTGTTTTAATATTTTATTCAAATAGCTTAAATGTGATCCTTCAATTATTACCTATTGATTAAATTTAAAATTTATGTTAAATTTCAACAAAAATTTCTAAAATATACATGTAATTATTGTAGTTTTATTATAGGGTAACAAGAAAACCAGGCTTTTTAAAAAACAATTGAAGTAGGTCGTAGCATAATACATGCATTGCAAAAGTTGTTTAATGAGACAGAAAATCAATGCTATTTCAAACTTTGAATTAAACCAGGATTTCTTTTCATTCATGATATTTTCATAAAAAGATCAAATAAAAACTTTTCAGAAGACTTCAAAGTGCAATAATGCCTTAAATTCTATCACAATACTGACTCTCTTTTTTTAAAGTACACATCAATAACTATGTTGTGATTTAATAGACATCAAAAACTTGCCATTCTGGGTATGAAACAAAATTTAATGATTATATCAATTCAGCATTTGATCAACAAAAACGTGGCACATTAATTTTTTTTAACAAAAACTTTCACATTGATGTGTTAACAAAAACCTACAGAATTTGCACGTTAATTTATAACATAAACTTTAAAATTGGCATGTTAATTTGATAATAAAAATTGAAAGAAGTTGCATGTTAATTTGAAAATAAAAACTTACGAATGAGATACATTCATTTTTCATTTATTTCTTCTAATGGCTAAAACATATTTATGTTAAGAATAAATATTTTTTTAAAACAATAACACATCAAAACTCTTCCACGATATTAAGTCACTAGATGTCTTCAGTTATCTTATATTGCAATTGATTACTGATAATTTTTCAGCTTCACCACTCAACTGTGTGGTGGCACCCAACAATGTATCCACATTCAACACCAAATCCCCCCCTCAAGTGCACTGGTTGTAAGTTGTATGGTATTGAGAACTGTCACTAACTGTCACATGGTAGTAAGTTGTATGGTATTGAGAACTGTCACTAACTGTCACATTTAAATAAAAAGCAATAGAGTTATGATTTAAAAATAAATGAAAGGTTGAAAACAAATAAGCTTCTGTTTTTGTTGATCAAATGCTTTATTTATATAATCAATATTTTTGTCTTCATTCCCATAATGGCAAGTTATATATACAACATATTTATTGATGTATATTTTATAACAGTTAGTTTTTAAAAAATAGAAGTTGTCATGACTTATTGCGGTCTGAAGTTATGGACTAAAGCGAAGATGGTGAAATAAATTTTCAAAATCATTCATTTTTATATTTACACTTTTTTTACTATGATGTTTTGTACGCATATAATTAATGCAATCAATCAAAACAGAATTGTGGTGCGGTAAAAGGAATGTGAATGATCTTTGCTAACATGCTAATATTAATAAATAAAGAATCCTCAGTAAAATAGAAACTAGAAACATACAAAATCAATAGTAATAATAATAATAATACTACTTGCTTCTTACAGGCCAAGAAAATATTAAACGTCGAATAAATCACAGCATACATCCAAACCTATGGGATTAAAAACTCTACAAAAAGAACCCTAAAAACTGTACAACAGCATAAACAATTGTACAGAAAGAAAGATAGAAAAATTATAAAACAGATTTTTAATTGTGGTTTATTACTCTAAGTAGCCACTATCATAGGGATTTCCGTAATAGCTACTGGTATATTAAGTAGACACTGGCTAAAACCTCCCTTAGATGCTATTTTTAGATGGCTTAGTAAGCAAGTTCGAGTAGGTTAAAATAATTACAAAATTGAATTACACTTTCTAAAAACAATGGAACAAAGAATAGTAATAAAGAAATTACTTAAACTGTAAGTCTTCACATCTGGATTGAAAACAAAATAAAGTTAAAAAAGCACTTGATTTATCAATACACTGGCCTTTGCTTCTCTATGATACAACAACATTCATTAAGAAGACAAAAGTGTCTGAACTCATCCTTCTTTGATGATATCTGTCGCAGTTAAAGCATCTGAAGCTGTCAACTTTAAATGCGAACAGCTATTTAGCCGAGGTGGATTAGAGTGCTTGCCTGAGTATTTTTCTGACTCATGGAACGGGCTGGTGACCTTGAATTTTGTTGTGTGACGAGCCAAAATTAAAAGCCTTCATCTTAATTTTTAGGTTAACAACCAAATAAAATAAATAAAATGAAGTTGGCATTTGGAATGTTGGAATATACATTTAAAAAAAAACAAAAACTAATTATTTTCTATTTACAGCTGCATCTGAAGGAGAAACAAAAAAAACACGAATTTTAAAAAAAAACTTAAGTATAGTCTAGCTAACCTGTGCTTTTGCAATAAAATAGGCTGTCATAAATATTAATGAACACATATCTTTTAAAAAATTTTTTTTTTTATAAAAGCAATTTCAAGGTATCGCAATAATTTCTTTTCAATTTACTCAAACATCACAGCACTTGAAATTTATTTTAAAAAAAAACAAACTTTTTGGTGCTATTTGGATCTATCAGAAGCTGCTGCTGAAGTCAATAAAGGCTGTATGGGCTTTTGAATCTCTAGGTCAATGTTATATGCCGAGCTGTTATGTGCGCTGAGCTTGTTGGCCGTATATGTGGCGATGCCTGCCATGACGAGGCCGTTGCCCATCCACCACATCCAAGCCCTGCTCTCCCCGCCCCACAGCACGGCCAGGACTGTCTGAAACAGGGACTTGGCATTGATGCTGATGTTATGCGTCAGGGGGGACGTGAGGGAGATCTGAAGTGCGCTGAGCCAGCCCATGGAAAGGCTCATCACCCCGGACAACAGCAGCAGCACCCGCGCCGTCACATCACTGTACATGGACGAGGTGAAAAAATTATCCATCTGCGAAGTGGAAAAGACGAGAGGGGTCAGACCCAGACTGCTGATCACACAGTTATTGAAAGTCAGCTGCACGGACGACAGCAGTTTTATCTTTTGTATCCTCTTGAAAAATATTCCACAGAAAGCTGCAAGCAGGCTGGCTACTATGGCGTAAACCACACCCACTGGATGCACACCGTTGGAGAGGATCTCTTCATCAACGCCAATATAAAAACCCATAATGATGAAGAGACACGACAGAACAACTTTAGAAGTCATCTTTTCATGAAGTAGTAAAATACTTAGTGTTATAACAAATATCAATGTGAGTGATCGAGCAACTTGATAAAAGGCGACACTAATGTATTTGAGCATTAGATTGTTGAAGACTAAAGTACCGGTGAAAGTCACGGATGCCATAATCATATCGGGATGCAGCAGGGTGGACAGATGTATTCCGGGCTGTTCCCAGGTTACACCAAAGAGTCCGGCAATTAGGTTCATAGAAAGCAAAATGATGACTCCTATAAGATTCTGCACCCAAACGATGAACACTGATATGTCGGCGTGCGGAGCGCGCCCGCTTACTAAGGCTTTATTTATGAAGACCATTGACATAGCAGTCGTCCAGTGGGCAACAATGACGATTGCAATGAGAAGAATATTGCTTTGCGGGGTCAAATGAATTTCACCCATTGTCAATAGCTCAGAATTTTTCACTGGAAGTCGATATATTTTATTTTCCAGTTTGTTTTATTTGATCCTTCAAACTTCATTTAATGCAGCTTGAAATCAGAACAGAACAGCAAATATTACTGTAAAGGAAGAAGCATCGGGCTCCTGGTTTCTTTAGACTGATCTTGAGAAGATTTGAGGCACAACCCATCAGATACCATTTTGCAATAAAGATGAGAGATCACAGATCTGAAAGGTAGAATTATGAAATAATTTAAAAAATGAAAGAATCATTTTGCTTCAATGAAATAAAATATTACAATATAAGTTTGCAATCATTGTTAAGAATGTATTAATACACATAGTATCAGTATCCTGAAATTGCACCAACAATAGCAGGCATTATTAATTAAGTATTTTTACATTTTTGTTAAAGAAAATTTTAACTATTTATTCATAGAAAGTATGAGTAGAATTATGTTTTAATTTATTTGATGTTTCTAATTATCTAACTTTCCTGTCTATCTAACTTTCATGTCTATCTTACTTTCATGTCTATCTTGTCCACTTTGTTTGCAATAATTTAGTGGTCAATGTTTATCCGTTTGATTTTGATTTGTTGAAAATAAATAAATAATTACTAAACTATACTAATGCTGGTAATAAAATATTTGATAAGTTTCTTTAGGGACCTGAAATAATGCTTAGTGGTGGTAGTTCTGCCCAATATTTATAGTGATGAAGTGAGGTAGAGCTAGATTAGCTGATGTAAATAGCAGTGGATTATTGACATCATTAGAATTATATAGCCATGAAAAAATCATATCTCCCAAATCTTCATTTATCAAAACCATATACCCCAAGAGTAACTTTGAATTTACAGTGGACATCAAGAAAGTTGCTTGTTTGGAATCGCTAATTAATATATTCTAGTTCTAGCATCTTAAATTCAAGATCATTGCTGTTAGCCACAGTTGCCAACTCAAATAAAATGAAGTGTAGATACAAATAGGGAATATCTTCACAATATTTCAATATTAACATATTAAAGTTATTATTAAAGACCTAATTTTGCATACAAATTTTAAAATTATGAAGCAAAAAAAAAAGGGGGGTCACATATCAGTATGAAAATATCTAAATCTCGTTATTTCTATGTAAATTTAGGCATGGTTTAAAATGGTTATGAACCCTGTCATTTACTAGCAGATTAAGTTATTTTTAAATTATTGTTATCTTATTTCAAAAAGATGTTTTTAAAGCCAATTTCAATATAGAATTTGAAGAAAAACAATATGTTATTAATTTTTCACAGTCATTAAGTTATCCACCTTCTTTACCAGAAAAGCTGTAACTTAGAAAAAATGAAATGATGTCTTTAACCTCATTTTTTTTTGTTCTAGTACAATTTTATTAAATCTTTCTTTGTAACAGCAAGACATCATCATTTTTATTATCTAAATAGGCTCTTCATTTAAATAAATATAATTAAATAACTCATTAGTTAGGCCTACTCATACTATTATTATTTTAATTTTTATTATAAAAATTTTAAATATATTTTTTTTAATGCACTTCAAATGCAAGGTTGCTACCTCAATCAAATAAAATTTATGGACAAATATTAAAAACCTCCATAATTATACGGACAACCCAAATTATTTATGGACAAATTTTAAAAAAAACTTTTTGAAACTATGATGCTAAATAAATGAGATATCTGTATGACTACCTTTCTTGGAATATCTCTCTATAATTTTATATCATAGGACCATGAGGCTTGAGAATGTTTTATAACCTATTATACAGGTGTAAAACAAGCAAAAACAAAATTCCAAAGGCTGAGATATCCCTTTTGTTTAACTTCAAAGGATTTTTTAAAACAAATTTTTTGTTTACCTACATCCTTTTACTCTTTTACTTTTAGGGACAAGTCATTTTTGGCCAATTCCTTATGGACTGTTGGCCATCCCTTGTAACCTTGTCACTATTGCTACACATTAAGACAAGCTCAGCCCGTTTCAAAAGAATTGAGGCCATGACCTTAAAATATGAGATTACCAGTACCATAATACTACGACAGCTTACTTTCTATTGAGTAGGTCTACCCCTAGTTAACTTTGGATATTTGGATTATATGGTATGGAGAACTAGTCTGTCTTGTGTAGTGTGTTTGAATAAACAAAAATGCATTGTCACACTAGCCCCAAACATGATGGATAGCAGGCCGTGGGGTGGAGTAAATTATATTTAATGTAACAAGCCACGAGATGGAGTAAATCATATTAAATGAGACAAGCCACGAGATGGAGTAAATTATATTAAATGAGACAAGCCACGAGATGGAGTAAATTATATTAAATAAGACAAGCCACGAGATGGAGTAAATTATACTAAAAGCCTACAAGCCATGGGATGGGGTTTCATATTTATACTAAATGCCTACCGACCAAGAATGTATACTGTGATTTTAGGAAAAGAATCACAGGCAAAACTGTCAAAATATATTTTTAGAATAAAGTCTTACATGTCAGTGTGTATGTGTTGTATTATTTATCAACTATAATTTCATTGGTAATTCTCATATGAGCGTTTATTATAGACTAAATAACAGTGAATAGAAGTAAGCAACTCTGATTAGGAATATGGTTCGATTCTCACTTGGGGCTAAATATGTGTATGTGTGTTATTTGTATAACCTATTCCAGGACCTATACAAATTATAATTCCAACACTTAATTATATGATTTATTCATACATAGTTATTTTGTTATCCATGAAGACCTTAAACAGGTATAGCGTATTACAAGTTAAAGGAATCAAAGGAAAGAAAAGTATGTTGCATTGTAGTACTAGTTTAGTTAAAAAAATTCAGATAAAGCAAGTGGTAAAAGCAGCATTAGGGATGAAAGATATAAAAATTAATTTGCTTTCCAATCTTGACAGAATTTACCAGTGTGCTCCCTGGTTGTTTTTATTTTTAAGATATAAAATGAAAGCTAAGTTATTTTTTACAACTTAATTTATACCTATAGACTTATCTATCAGGCCAATTATTTTTATGTGATACTCCAAACAGTGTAAATGCATCTAAATGTGTGTGTGAAGTGTAAATGCATATTATTTGCATGTTTAAATTATTTTTTCCTCATCACTTTTCTTCTTATTACTTTTTTCCAGTGACTTTTTATCAGCTCATCTGTGACTTTTTATCTGAGTAAATGCATCTAAATCTATGCATGAACTTGAAGTGTAAATGCATATAATATTTTCTTTTTTAATTATTTTTTCTTCTATTACTTTTCTTCTTATTACTTATTTTCCAGTGACTTTTTATCAGCTCACCTTTTTGATTTTTGTGCCTTTCATATTTAACAAATTTAACATTACTTGTACTTCTAATTCTAGGGGTATCAATTCATAATCCACAACGTTATAAGTGCGAGTGATTCTTTTAACTTTAGATAGATTATTAGAATGTTAACTTGGGACTTATTTAAATTTATGACATAAATTGAAATTTTTTTTCAGTGTTTTCCCACAGTCATTTCCAAGCATCATGAGTGTGATGTCCACATGGGCTTTGTTGGACCATAATTCAATGGTATCATCATTTCACTTCCTTTTATTTTTAATTTAGATTTAGTTCATTTAGTTTATTAATTAGGCCTATATACCTGACCAGCGGCAATCATCCCACATTCACATAATATAAATTATATTATACTATAATAATAATAATAATACCTCTGCTCACAGACCATACAATACTTCTTACAAATAAATATTAAATTAGTATTAAATACTTATACTAGACTACTGAATTATAATTGACATATCATAGTCATAGGCTTATTTTTAGGCAAAGGTCATGTCATACTCATAGAGTGATCGAGTCTTGATAGAGATAATTAAATAACTACTAATACTAATACTAATAAAATATAATATATAAAATATTATAAATAATTATATTTGTAATTTTATTACGTAAAAAAGAGGGGATGATATCCTTCCAATAATCCCGGGTTATTATACCGAATTTCATGTAGTGATATTTTCTGGATCAAACTTATTGGCTTGAGCCATGGAGAAATTTTACTATAATACTATACTAACTATACTATATTATATGGAACTACCGATCTTCTAAGTAGATTGTTGTTATTCAACAAGTTTTAGAGCTCTTGTGTAGTAAATTTTAAATATACTATTGTTTTTGAGGCTGTTTTTCATAATTTTCAGTTTTGATAAAATTGTTTTTATAGCAAAATTCAGTTATAGAATATTAAGATTTTTTATTTATAAATAGGCAATTTTTAATATTACATTAATATTTTTACACATTTTTTTATTCCTAATATAAAATGTCAACAAGATTAATAAAATATTGGGTTTGTCAATGCCTTAAATTGAAATACATTTTAATCTGGCAGTTAAAATCCGGAAGTGAGTCACATTTTGGGTGAACCTTAATTTAAGCGGCGCGAGAAGATCATTTTTAAAGGGGAATAATCAATAATTAAATGTGTCCTTAACCCAAAATGAGACAACATTGTTTAAAATTGATGAATAGGATAAAAATTAAACACATACATTTTTTAATGTATATATATTAACTGGTTATAATATGTTTAACACATTCATTTTTATGAAAATAATGAACATACATCTGCATACTCAAAACAAGGGCATTAATGCTCATGACTCATAAAATTGATAGTCTTGCGCCGCCTGCAACCGGTTTTACTACACAATCCGCCATTTTTTCAGTGCCGCATCCGTTTCTTCAAACAAAACATCGATAAACAATATTAACGTTTAATTGTGGCTGTGGAAGTGCAATAATTCAACTGCAGTTCACGTATCACGATGACGAGCAGTACTGCTAGTGCTTTTAAGTTCATCGACGGACTGAAAGATGTGGAGCAGCTTGTTACTTTCGCGAAACTCGCTGAGCAAGCCGAACGTTATGATGATATGGCGAGATCCATGAGGAAGGTCACAGAATTGGAGGGTAAATTAACCCAAGAGAAGCGAAACCTTTTGTCTGTGGCTTACAAAAATGTTGTTGGTGCACGCCGATCATCGTGGCGTGTTATCTGCATGATTGAGCAAAAGGCAGAAAATGAAAAACGGAAGGCTATTGCTCAAGAGTTCCGTGTGAAAGTGGAGTCTGAACTGGATGCCACATGTAACGAGGTGCTTGGCTTGTTAGAAAAGCACCTGATTACCGATGAGTGCACAGATGAAGAGAAAGTTTTTTACCTCAAAATGAAAGGTGATTATTTCCGTTATATTGCTGAATACAAGTCTGAGCAGGGTCCAGAACGTATAACTGCTATTACAAATGCTGAAGAAGCTTATTCTAGAGCCATGGAGCATGCTAAGAAAAACATGCCTTCTACACATCCAAATCGTCTGGGTCTTGCTCTCAATTACTCAGTCTTCTACTATGAGATCCTAAACTCACCAGATAAGGCTTGTAATTTGGCCAAAGAAGCTTTCGACGAAGCCATTAGCGATTTGGAGAAATTACAAGAAAATGATTGTAAAGACAGTACTCTGATAATGCAGCTTCTTCGTGACAATCTTACCCTGTGGACATCAGATAATCAGGCTGAAAATGGTGATGACTAATCAGATCTGAAACAAATAAAAGAAATGTTAAACTTGTGAGAGGGTTCGTTGAGGAGACTTGATGAGCATGTGCAGTTATCAAATGACTAGTTCTTCTTTGACTGTCTTTGCTGTGATGCAGCTTATAATCTTCTTGATTCTTAGGACAATACTTACATTCAGATCAATTCAATGCTACAAACAGTTGTCTGGACTCTGATTATTTCATGAAGTGATTCTATCTGCCTTGATGCACAATTATTAAAGTTGTCAAAGAGACATTTAAATTAATATTTTTCATATCAGTTTTTTTTTTTTAAATTTCAAGAAATTTTTCAAATGAAGTTCAATATTACTTTCATTTTAATTAGCCTATTGTTATCCTTCTAACATTAGATCTATTTCAGTACAGGATTATTATATAAGTAGGCCTAGGCTATTGTCTTTATATAATTATATTTATACAGTTCTGTATGTTGCTATCTTTACTTTAGTGCTGACAGGATAGTTGTACATGTAAACATTTTATTAGTCTTTGGGTCCTGAAATTATTGAATATTATAAAGTTAAAACATTAAATTATCTACTTAAGTTACTTTAAATAAAATTATTCCATGTTGCCTTTTTCAGTACCCTTAGAAGTATTTTAATTGAAAAATTTAAGTGTGGAAAGCCCCTTTTTTCTCCTTTTGTTTTTAAATACAATTTTAAGATATTTCTCACATTTTACAGGCATTCTTGAAAATGGTGTTATGTATGTAATATCTCTTCAGTGTTTTCCAACTATACTTAGCTGAACAATGCCAATAGTGTGGTTAATTAACTGATTAAGAATTTTAACTTTAGTAAATCTGCTGGTATTGATTTTATCAATATATCTCACTGACCTTTTGTCAATGAGTTGCCTTGTCATTCCTTGAGAAAGCCTCACTGTATGCATTGTCTTGTGGTCTAATTTCAAGCTATATTTAGAAACAAATAGTGATGTTAATTACTGTAGTTTTAGTATGGGCTCATTTTATGACAAAAATTTACTTAGTATTATAAACGTACTGTATAACTTAATTCGATAGTAGCACTTTTATTTTGGAATGGGAATACTTCACACACTATTTATAAATTTTAGTTGTATACTGCTAGGTAAACTTAACTTACATAATATATTATATCCTAAACCATCATTTCAACATGACAATTTCAAGCCATTGGTCTCTTATTTTTAGAGTTTTAAAAGCTGTTTTACAGCTTGTGATACTTTTAATAGCATGTTCTTTAGCAATTCAGTCTCCCTCGTCCTCTACAGGATATAATTGTTATGACTGTTGTAAAGTGTGGATGATCAGGTGAATTATGCATAGCATTCACTAACAAATATCAAATGTTTTTGCTTTGTAACAACATTTTCAAGGCCAACTTATTTCCTGTTCATCATATAATCTTGCTTACTGTAGTTGGGGTAAAACACATGTCAGAATTAATTCCATTATGGAAAGGGTGAGGCATAAAAATTTAAATTTTTGAAATTTTACATACCGGTATTTTAAAAAGAAAATTACATTACAGTAAAGTTCAATTGTCATAGTCTCATGTGCTAAAGCTGAGAGTGCTATTCAATAAATTTTCTATACTCATATTTATAATCATTAGTAATTTTAGCTTTTGAAATTCATAAAATCTAATTTTGTTACATTTATTACCCTGTTTTTATAGCTTTTAAATATGTTTATCATGAAAAATAAAATGTCATCATTGCACTTATTTTTTTTCTCTCGATGTTGACTGTTGTAACAGCTATTGTATGTTTTGTTTCTGAAGTTAAATGCTTTACTCTCAATCTTCTCTCTTTATTCTTTTCATTCAGTTTCTTTCTTTGAAACCTGTTTTAAGGCTGTGTCAACCTGTTTTAATTTTAACCTCTACTGGTAAACATACATACAAAGTGTAAAAAATGTGTATAGAATTAGTATACAAACAGATCACACCTCCTTTCAATGAAATCAATGGTTATTCAACATTCAGAGGTCTAATTAAGTTACACTTTGAATAAGTGTTTCATTTCAATCCTGATATAAATGTTAGCAAGATGTTAAATGTACCTGTATTACTAGTACCATTAGTATTAATAACAATTTTTGTGACAAGTCCATTATGATCTCAATTGTCATTAGCTTGGGTTTATTTTACCATACAAATACAATATAATTCAATCACAATTCTAAGATTAGTATTTTTAATAAATTAATAATTTTTTTAATAATGTGATGTACACTTATCATAAGTTTCTCTCTACTGCTTTTAATATTTTAGATTTCACTAATGTTACATTACACCATTGACATTTACATACTGATCTCTATATACATGTGGTGGCAACCAGAATGTAATATGCCCTATGAATGTTCATATAGGTATCAGGTTCATTTATAGTCATAGTGGGAGACAGCAGCCTACTGGGGGTGTACGTTGCGGTATTAAAATATGGGTATTAAAATATGTACCGTATTAAGCAAACATCAATACCGGTTCCAGAAGGCTTGTCACAAGATTTACAATTGAAATAACTAACTAAATCAGTGTATGCCAATGCTACACAATGTATAATTTCCAAGGCTTTACTTTATAATTACTACCGGCACCTGGTACCATTTTTAGCAAATGGTACTTTTATTGCTGGACGCCTCTACTAATTTTAACTATTAAAACAATAAGCCTGTACTCATGCACATACATTTGGTACATTAATTTTAACCTGGATGACACTATTTATTATAATATATTTATTTAATTGTAATACTGGTACCGGGTACTCGTTTGTTGCTACAACTACAAGTTAAAAAAATTTAAAATTCCTAACCATGGTATCCAAGGGGCCATCCATAAATGATGTTAAACTTGTCGAGCTTTTGTCAAATTTTTGTTTTTTCACACCACTAAACCATTCTCACAAGTTTGTGCCCCACCAACATTATAACAAATTATATCCCCCCCCCCCCCCGGTACCGTACCCTGTACCTAATTGCATAGCCCCTAAATTTAATATATACAAGTGCAAGGACGACACTGTGTTAGCACTGCTGTTAGTGTTATGATCGGTACACACAGTCTGAAAGACTAAACTAAAAAGTAACATCGTTTGTGTTTTTGCAGATTGAAAGACTTGTTCATGAATCATACGACTACTACTACTTACGGTATGACAATGACAAACATTGTTCACCATTGAATCTACTTATCTACTCTACAATTTAGTACTGGCATCGTGCCTATTAAATTAAAATGTCTTTATTCTTGTCTTAAATCTGAGATTTGCTTACTAATCCATAATGTAAATTAATAGTGTTAGTCATGATAAGATTACCGGTACCGTACCTTAACTGTACTAGTACCCGGTACCAGAGGCGTAGCGAGGGGAGGGCAGGGGGGACAGATGTCCACGGGTGCCAACTAGTTAGGGGCGCCAAAATGTGCTTTGATTTTATTGATCAAAATAATGGGCCTGAGAGTTCAAAAAAAAAGAAGGGGCGCTTTAAAATGGATCTTGTCCCGGGCGCCAAACACCCTCGCTATGCCTCTGCCCGGTACTAGCATGTTAATAAATACCGGTATTACCAAACAGCACCGATGCATAAACTTAAAGTTAAAGACTACCGGCGATACGAAGAACAAAAGGGGGAGGGGCCCACAGTTTGCAGACGGAACATTTGGCGCACGCCCAGTGACATACTTAAGGTTAGTCAGGGGCGGGCCAAGACTTTGCCGCTTTCCCAATTGTTTTCCCAGGAAAAAAAAAACAAACTACCTGTACCGTACCGGTAATACAAATGCTGAAAATGCTCCCTTCCATGTTATTTGGAAATGGTACCGTTTATAGAAAAGTGGTAGACCACACCCAACTCTACGTCACTGGTCACGCCTCATACCGGTATTCCAATTTACACGTACCGGTACTGGTACTCAGTGGTAAGCTATACTATTAATACATAAATGCAGTTCTAATGTCTTAAAAATTAAAGGTAATAACAGTGATTGTCTATTAACTCACAGAGTAGGCCTACCGAGTTCCGATATTTAATTAACGGTTTATAATTTTAGCTTGTACTTGTTGATATCGGTACCGTACTTGATATCGTACCAATTAAGTCCTGATATAGGCCTACCGGTCCGGTACACATGAGATAGATAGGACATACAAATTTGAATAATTATGTACCCTGTTCCGTACCGGTATGTTAATAATTGTTGGATGTTAAGCCTAGCTGCTAACTGCTAGCTAGTTCTATATAAATCTAATTCTATATAAATCCTTGGTTCTTAACCTTCATAATGTCTTGACGCTTTAATTTTGATACCGGTACGATTCCTCATGTTGTGGTGACTCTCAGTCGAGTCCCAGCCATAAATTTATTCTCGTTGCTCGTTCACAAAGTTATGTTTCCCGATGGTCTTAGGCGACCCCCTGTGTTAGGGTCGTTCGGTCCCAAAAGGGGTCGCCACTCATAAATTGAGAACCGCTGCTGATATAAATTATCATAAAACGTTTAAGGAGAAATGAAGACCAAACTCAAACACGCACACACACGAATAAAGAAATTAAAAGTTTATTACCGGTCTTCGTTTAAAAAAAATAATAAACTAAAAATGACAACAAGTTTAATTATATGATATTTAAGTGTAAAGTAGATCAATTTAATCAATTAAATTAATTTGTTTTGATTAAATTGTGACGTGGAGCTCGAAGTCGGCGTTGAACAGATTATCGTGTACCGGTAACGATCACGTGACATCTGAATGAACCTAAATACGCTACGCTGGCTTGTCACATGATGCGTCATATCACTTCAACGAAACGCTACAGGCTACTCGTTCACAAAGCCAGCGTGGAAAGAAACAACCCAATTAAACATGACATCAGCTACAGTTAGAGTTAGATTAAAAATAATACTAATTTTAAAAAATCAAGATACGGTACAGTTAACATTAACCGTACCGTAGCATATATAACAGCTGATAAAATCTGGCAGTAGACACATCCATGTGGAATACATTTCGAACAAGGATCTATGAAAATGAAAGATTAGCTTTTTTTTAAATCTGAGAATAACTAAATTAACAAATAAGCTTACCAAAATCGATTAACGGTCGGTGATCTATTCATTATATTGCTTTTACCAAACGTCGGAGCAGGTACCGATGAATAAGCTGCTGTCTAACTAATCGATCCGTTGTATGTAAGGATCTCCTTAAAGGTAAGGGCTTTTATGTTGTACCAAAACGTGAACACCTCTTGAGTACCGGGTACACGTTTTTTACCCCATTTCTTTTTATCCTTTATTAATAATTAATGCGCATATGTTACATTCGTTTCAAAGTTAAAATTAGTTAATATCGGTAGCTATACCATTCCGTCTCATTTAAATGTATGCGAATCATAAACGTAATCTGTCTATATACAGAAGTTTGATTTATTTAATTTTAAAGTTTTCTCCTAAAGTACGATACGATACGATATAAAATGATTGATAATTAAAAAGATACACATAATTAAATTTGACCCCCCCCCCCCCAAAAAAAAAAAAAAAAAAAAAAAAAAAAAAAAAA